AAGTGCCTTTGTTTTTCTCCATATGATCACTCTAGTAGCGCTTAGTTGTCTTTAACTTCATCCAAAACAATTTTGTTAGATTGTATTGTGACTGTTGCCATATCAGCATGCATTAAAAAAAAAAAAACATCAAAACTGGTGAATTTTTGTGCAGCCATTTTAACAGTGAAGATGGAAGATGATACTCAACATTTTTGGTATATTATGTTTTATTATATCAAGAAAGGTAAAAACACAACTGGAACACACAAAGACGTGTGCAGTGTATGAAGAAGGTGCTGTGAGTGATCGAACGTGTCAAAAGTGGTTTGTGAAGTTTCCTGGTACTGTTGACATTTTGGCCAAATAATTCTTTGCTGTGGGGCTGTCTTACACACTGGAAGATATTTAGCAGCACCCCTGGCCTCTACCCACTAGAAGCCAGTGGTGGGGAGATGGCCAACATACTCTAGATATCCAGATCAGTAAAGTTATTAGTGAAAATGAAAAATGTATCTTTTCTTTTACGGGAAAAAACATACAGACTTTTTGGTCAACCCAATACTCTGACTGCAGGTTGCATTTTTGCAACTACAATATCTCCATCACTAAAAGGTGTGGCCACCGGCATAGCCCTGGCTTTTGTTACCCAGGTTAGAAATTGTATAAAAAGCCACACGGTGGGTTTGCTGCCCTGCCACAGGCCGCAGTGCCCAACCTGTACCCAAGACCACATCACACCTGCCTCCTGGTGCCCCAGCTCTGCGCCCTCCCCCAGAGCTCCGTCAGCTGCAGCCCCTGCTGCCGCCGCCAACCCCATGTAGACCATCTGGAGCCTTTTCTCTTGACCCCGATCCCAGACTTGGATTTACGGAGGGAAAGTTTGTTCCAGCTGCGTGCTTTATAAAATGTACTTTTATAAAGGCTCTGTGATTCCAGAAAATGGATCCTCTCAATGCCGTTGAAAGCCCTTTCCTGAGTAAGCCCAGTTCTGTCCCAGAATCTCATTCATCGAAAGGGTCCCAAGGCCGCCTGTTTACAGCAGACGGCAGAACCCTTCGGAAGGCTCGTGTCAGAGATGAGGGCTACGCCCTGACACATGTTTTCAGGCGACAGTGAAAAGGGCACCATGCATCTCTGCTCCTGACAGGAAGGCACCTGATTTGCCCATAATCAACTCTACTACAGCAAGTAGGTTTGGGATGGCATTTTGGGTTCCCAGTGGCTTTATCGTTTGTCACATGTATACTTCGTCCACTGGCCTAGATCCAAGCTTCCCAACACAACTGTCAGTGCGGTGAGGACACAGACTGTGTTTCCTTTTTTCTTCTCTTCGTAGACCACGATCTCTCATTGTCCCACCTCCCGCCCCTTCCGCTCCCCCAGTGCTTTTGCTGAGCCCGTTACAGATGCGGGTTAGCAGAGTGCTGAGTTTCCTGCCCTTCCCAATGCCGTCACTGACTGACTGGGATGCAGGGTGATGTAACTCATTAGGGATGCGAGGAAGCATAAGGCAGGCGGAAGGAAAGCCTCTCTCTCCCCTGGCCAGATAAACAGCCCCATTTTTTCCAGACCAGAACTGGGCTGAGGCCTGCCCGCGGGAGACCTGGGACAGCCGCTGCTCCTCCCCAGGATGCGTCTTGCACGGCGCCTCCATCTAACTCCCACCCACCAGCCCCCTCTGCTCCCCTACCCACCCCCACCACCGAGAGAGAGGAGTAGCTCTGCCTAGGATCTGCTGAACACTGAGCGTAAAGCCACCCTGCACTGGGGTTCTTCGACTATTGGAACTAGGAGATACCTGGGTGCATCTGCTCAACCTTCATTTCCAGGCAAGGTAAATGAGACCAGGGAGGTCACTGACTTGCCCAAGGTCACATGGCTACTTCAGGGGCTGAGTCAGGGCCAGAAGTCCAGTCTCCCAGGCCAATGCTCTTTCATCTACCCCACCCCCCACTGTTAATACCTCCTCTCCCCCAGTGCTGTTCTTGGTCTGGCTGACGGCAGTGCTACAGGGTAAATGGGAATGACGGATAGGTGGAAACAATGTATATAATTATCTATTTAAGGCTCTACTTTTGCCTTCAAGATCAAGAAAGGCTCTGGGGGACTCAGATACTGTCAGCTGGGTGTGGCCAGGTTCCCTTGGTAATCTACAGAGTCACTTCCAGGCAAACCGAGGGGCAGGGAGGCTCTCGCCAAGTCTAGACCACAGTCAGTGTCTGAGACAGCTGGAGCCATGTGCTGTGATCCTCTGGGGGGCAGGCTTCAGTCACTAAGGTACAGACAGACCCCCCGAAACCCGATGGTGACGTGCGCTCTGCCTTCCCGGTGACATCTCAGCACATTGGAGTGGGGGGGGGGGCCTCCAATGACAGTCTGGGCAGCAGGGCAGAGCATGAGGACACAAATGTCCAGACAACAAGAAAGGACAACGTTGACAGAAAGGACAGGGGCAACATGAGTCAAGAACCAGGCAGGATGGCCAAGTGAACCGCACAACCAACTCGATACTGGAACCGCCCAACGCCTGGCACCCCAAACAGGCGGGACTCCATCTGGGAGTCAAACGCCGACCACATCAGCCTCAGCAACAAGAGGCCCCATCTCGGGGGCGGCCAGCTGGCCTGGGGTTTGAGTCCCCATCCTGCCCCTACTGTCTGGGTGACCTTGAGCAACCTGACCTTTCTGAGCATCAGTTTCCTTGCCTATAAAACGGAGACACCGACTTAATAGGGTTGGATAGGACTATTTACGATAAAGTCCAGAAACTCCTCCAAATACTGGCTGGAATACCATAAGCACTCAAGAAACAGTAGCCAAGCTTTCTGAAGTCCCTCGGGGACTTGACTCATTGGCTGTCTGGCAGATGCACGGGCTCCCGGGGGAGGGGGCAGGCGGGGGGACACATCCCCCCACATCTTCATCACCCCCTCACACAAGCCTGGAAGTGAGAACGGGACATTTCCCTGCTAAGGGGTGGAGGTGCAGGGGGCGTGTCTTCAACCAGACACACACACACCCCAGCCCCAGCCTCCGGGGAGCCCAGGAAGTCTGGCAACAGTGATCCAGCCGCTCAACCGTGTGACTGGAGGGTCACTGTGTATCACGCTGCCACCAACACAACACTCACAAGTTCTGAACGACCGTCTCCTGGGAGCCCCAGACTCATAAACACCATGAAGAAGCAGACAGAGAGCTAGAAAGAGCTTCAAGTAAATCACCCTCTACTTGTCATCCCTGTGGCCGGAGCACGCAGGTCCACCCTGGGAAGGGGATTTTTGTCAAAGCAAAGAGATGTGTATTCAAAGCTGGAGTCTCTAAGGGAACTGAGCTAAAGCCCATTCAAAGTCTGAGTCAAGAACCGTGCCAGGAAGGAAGTTGCAAGATACACACAACACGGCAGCATCATATGCTGTCTCATGCGCTCTTCCGACCACTCCCCACACAGCCAGTAACTCGGGGCAACTGTCCATCCCGGTCTGTCTGAACAGTGTCCACTGTCCATGTGTAATTGTTACAAATGTCCTCTCTCCAAAGCGTCCTGGCTTGGCCCATAAACCACACGATTACCCAAACTCCACAGTGGAAGAAGGTCTAGCTGGCCGGAGACGGAGTGGGATGGGATCAAACAGGGAAAGAACGCCTTCTTCTAGCTCTAGAGAAGCCCGCACACCCTTACAAGACTCACACATTTGCAGAGAAAGTTCCCTCTTTGCCATTAGTAATGTCTCTTGAAAATGTCAACCGGAAGTTTTCCCATGGTGCTCATGCCAGCCCCCCACCCCCCGGGGAAGACAGTCCCTTTTCTGGGGCTCTGACGTCAGAGAAGATAAAGCCCCTCGCTCTTGTTTAAGCATTAGAAACACCCTTTCGTTCCAGGAAAACACTCCCATGCACTGAGCCGTCCTGGCTCCTTTCCTCTCTTGGTGATGCCTGTGGCCTGGAGCCGCTCTAGGCCCCCCCCCGGGGGGGGGCAGGTAAGAAACAAGGAGCCGACACCGTGGCCTCCAAAGTGAAGAGCATGAGAACCTAAAAGCCCCCTGATGCGGGTCATCCACCCACAGTCTCACTCAGCTGCCAGCAGCCAGAGCCAGGGCCCCAGCCGAGCAAGAAGCCAAACTGCCCCGTTGGTCGCCAGAGCAAGGCTGGAGCCTGGATCTCAGGAGGGATGCAGATGGTGTCTCCCAACATCCTCTCCTAGGCAAGGGCGCACAGCGAAGAGGCACCGAGAGGTGGGGGTTGGTTCCATGGCTAGAAAAGGACACCAACCACTGGAGCGCAGGGAGATCAAGCCGCGTCAAAAAGCAAGTCACTTTAGGTAGTCACTGTAGGTAGTCTGGCTTCTCCCCCGCCCCCACTTCCTCTGAACTCCAGCTTCCAGCCCTCTCCCTTGACAGGGTCCACTGGTCGCCGCAGGTACGCGGCCGGGACACCCAGCATACCAGCTCCCGGATGCCTCCAAGGGCACACAGGGCTTCACGCAAACTTCTCTGGAAGCCAGTCCCTGCTCAGCGAGCCCTACCCTCCAGCGGTCCCCCCACGAAACTTCCTGGTGCACGGGACCCGCAAGGGAGGCCACAGGCTGGCGGAGAGCTGCGGTGGCACCTCCGCGAAGCCGGTCCGCGCTCCCGGGCGGCACAAGCCTCCCTCGCTGCGGGCTGAGCAAACGCGCGATCGTGAGCAAGATGCCAGCCCTGGGCGCCGGGCAAAGGGCACAACGCTCACAGCCTGAAATCTCAGGGGCGCGGGGCTTTCCCACGCTCCAGAAATTGCCACCGAAGTTGCAAAGCAAAGGGCAGCGCGTGGGGAAGAAGAACCGGCGCAGAGGAGGATTCCGAGAAGGTTCGGACAAGCGAGGGAGGGTTCTCCACGGTCTGCGCGTCCCCAACAGGTAGCAGACCCGGGGACGGAGCCGTAGCGCCGGCCGTGGGGAGGGCTGCGCAGCACCGCAGGCAGCGGGCTCCGGGCGCAAACGACCATTTATTTCCTCGGCAGCAAAAGCCAAACCCCGGGCTTACCTTGAATTAATGCAGAGTCCCGCGCTCAGCTGAATGAGGAGTGTGCGCTAGTATTCCAGAGGCATCCTTGGACGATTTTAAAGCACAAAACTCCTGGGGGGAGGGGAGCGGAGCGAGGGGGTGAAATTGAGGGGGAAGAAGGCGCAATCCAAAAAAAAAAAGCAGGGGAAGGAAGGCAGGAGAAGGTAAGGAAGCGAAATGGAAAAATAAATAAAGAGAAGGGAGACAGTTTAAAAAAACCACCTGTCTCCCGCCCACAGAGTGGAAAGGAATTTCTGACAATTCCAAAGAGGACTGACAAGCATGGCCCCCAGAGGGGCAGCGTGGGGGGCGGGGGGAGGGACGACGAAGGAGCCGGGAAGTCTGGAGCTGTATCCAACCCCAGGAGCGAAGAGCTGTCCAAGGCCCGGACTGCGCCCGCGAATGGGCGCGGGAGGGCGGACGGGCGCGGGGCAGTGCGCGGCGTGAGCGTGCACACCCGGGCTGGGGCGGGGCGCACGGGGCTGGCGGGCGGGGGCAGCTGGGTGCAATTGCCTGCGGGCGGGGCTTTTTGTGTGAGTAGTAAACAGCCTAGGGCGAGAAATTTAAGGCAGGTGTTCCCTGCGAAAGTTCAGTGACCTCAAACTTCCACGGGCCACCTCCACTCCAAAACACCGGCCCGTTGGTGGGTGGGAGTGGGTGCCAAGGTCTCCTCGGGGACCTCACACCAGCTCCAGGGCCTTGGCAGGAGGCCCTTGAGGGTGAGAGCATAATTAAACCTAAAGAGAAACAGGTTTGAGCTGGAGGCTTTAAGGATCAAGTTAAGAGGGGAGAAGTGCGGGGGCGAGAGTAACCCTCCCTGAGCCAGATGCTGCCCAAGGACAGGGCACCCAGCCGCAGTGGGGAGCACCTTTGCTGCCTCTGGAGGGACGTAGAGCGTCTCTGAGGGTCCCAGGGGCCACCCGAGGACCCTAAGGGAGACCCTGTTTCCAAGCGGGAATGGACGGGGGAGGGGCCAGTTAAGGAGCACAGAAAGTAAAATAGCCCCCAAAACAGTCAAACCGGCACCCCCAAAGCTTTCTAAATCCGAACGCTTTAGAGTGCCCTCTCTCCCACCATTTGTCTGATTCTTTGCTCCTCTTTCCGTCCAGAAACGCCTCCCAGAGCCTCTGCTGGCGGAGGCCCCGCCCGCCGACCCCGCCCATCTTTGCAGCCCAGCCAGGGCCGCAGAGGGACTTTGCCGGGTGGCCCCACACAGCTGCCCACTCTCCACCAAAAGCTCAGAATCAGAGCACTGAAGGGAGAGGGAGGGAAGGAGAGATTGAAAGGGGCAGAGAGACACAAAGGAAGAAACAGGGAAGGAGAAGGAAGGCAGGGGTGGTGGGGGTGCTCTCCCTAGAAGCTCTTGTCCCTTATGGCCTTGGCGCCCGTGGTGCAAGTCCTCTGAAGGCTTAGTCTGGAGTTTGCCAGAGTTGAACGAGGACAGTCGGCCTTTCCTACTTAGTGGTGAGCTCCTCGTGGCTAAGAGCAGCGATTCCAGTCAAGTTTGCACAGTGTACACCCGCCCACCCCCATCCGGGCGCTCTCAGAAAACTTGTCCTGAAGGGAACTAAGTAGCCACAAGACCCAGGGCTCCTCCATCTTAGTTTGGATGAAGGAAAGGAAGGGAAGACCAAGGGCTGTGCACCCTCCCTGGCTCCTTCCTCTTCACCCCCCAGAAGGTCGGGTTGGGAGGGTTGGTCTGAGAACTTGGGACTTCTACAGCTGCGCCAGCGAGTTCTGAAAATTATCACCAGCCCTGAAATGAGGTGAGCCTGGTCTCTATGAATTAGACTTTGGAAAGCCAAGCCTCTAGCCCTGACATTAAAAACTGCTCCATCTGGGCATTAGAAAAAAAAAAAAAAATCAGAGCTCTATACATCAGCTGTTCGGAGGCTGACAGATTTTTGAGATGTCTTGCAGATCTGGTTTCCCTTATTAAGATTGTTTTTTCCAGTTCAAGCATCGAGACTCAAGGGGCGCCTCTGTGTGGCAATCTTGAACCCTGCCCAAAGGGGGCAAAATCCTGGGGTGTCCTGGGGAGTCAGGGTCCCTCCTCTCAAGAGAGAAGAAGCACAAAGTGAGGACAAAGAGGGAGAGATTTTCCCGCTTTGGAAAATCAACTGCGAATTTACAGGGAGCAGGAATGACTCCATCAACCCTCAAATGGACTCTTCCTGCCCCCACCCCACCCCGACATAGGGGCGAAAGTGCAGCGACCAGCCCCCCGCCCCAGGCCCTTGTTCCCTCCACCCAGGAGCAGGAGCACACACAGTACAACGTTTGGGTTTCTTTTTACAATGAAAGAGTTTAAAGAGCTAGGAGACCAGAAGGCCGATGGTTTTCCTGGCTTGGAATCGCCTTAAGAGAAGAGCATCCAGGCTCACCCTACCCGCATCAAAACAAACAACGGTTGTGCCCACAAACAAGACTCATGGAAGAGGGCCGTGCCCGCCCCCACCGACCATGGTTCCAGGACAGGCTGCCTTGGCCCATCCCGGAAGGCGTCACAACCCCAAGTGCCCACCCTCCTACAGTAACCTCTCGGACACACCTGCCATTTTATTGTTGTTTGCCTCCCTGGTTACAAGTAACAACTAATTAGAACAATATGGTGTCCTTTCAGACATAACAGAAATATTGGTTTTGATTCTTATCCCATTTGGATGAGCTGTGGCTGTCGTCCTGCACCTTTTGCTCTAGGCGGAGGAGAGGAGGCTGGGATACCGGGTTTGGTCCAGCGGACCGGGCGGGCCCGGCCTGTCTGGCTCCGCCCCTTGGCCCCAGCAGAGCCCGCCCTCCCTGCTCCCGGCCCGCTGCTGTATCAGCAGGGGGAAGGGTTCAGCGCTTGAGACACACTCCCCTCTCGAGCCAGGCCAGCAAGGGGACACCTTGGGTAGCCCTGACGCAGACCTGTGCCCCACACCGCACCCCCTAACGGGACTTCATCCCGGGGCCCTGGCTTCAAAGAAAAGACCCCCGTTTAATAATTCAGCCTGCTTGAATGCCATCAAGTAGCCATGGCAACCAGTTCCCCTGACATCTCGTCGCATGGAGGATGTGGCTGGAAGGGGAAAGAGAGGGAGAAAGAGAGGACGGTGAGAGAATGGAGAAGGAAGAGGCCCACCTGAGATTTCACCGAAACTTTCCCTGCTTTCACGCCACGGGCGTAACAGGCCCGGCAGTGCGATGGCCGCGTGTCCTGTGGCTGCCTGCCTCTCCCCAGCTCTCGTCCTCGCCTGGACTTCCCTCTGTCCCTAGCTTGCCCCTCGCTAGCTCTTCCTCTCTCAGACCTACGGGAAACCAGGAGATCTGACGCAGCATTCCGACTAAACACCTTTCTGACTGGCAAATGCCTTTCTTTGGCTCAGTTTTCTTATCTGTAAAAGGGGAGGCCTGTGGTGTTCCCTCTGGTTCCTTCCAGCTCAGCAGTCCGTGGTCCCATGGTCCTGTCTGCCTCTGTGTTGGTTTCATAGGTTTCTCCCCATCCACACCTGTCCTCTCTCCCTCTCCCTCCTCCCTCTCCCCTCTCCGTGACTATCATTTGCCATCATATTTCACTTGTAAAGCAGTTATTCTCTTAATAAACATTCCATTCCCCCTTGCCAGAATGTGTCCCACCACCTCCCTTCACCTGGCTAACCCCCGTCATCCTTCAGGTTACAGATCAGACATCAGTTCCTTTAAGAAGCCTCTCTGCTCGCCTCGTCAGCTCCCGCAAGTGCCCGGGAGGGACCCCTACTGTACCTGTCTCACTGTGCTGTTGCAACCTCACCTGCCGTGCGAGGCCACTAAGGGCGGAAATAGTGCCTCCTTCATTGTCGTGTCCCCCGTGGCTGCCATTTGGGAAGCGCTTAACAGGTAGTGCTTGAAGCACAGAGGATTGAATCGCTGCTTGTTAGAGATTCAAGATACCCCCTGGTAGGCACACAGGGTGAGGCAGCCAAAGGAGAGCGCATTGGAGTCCGAGCCGCCCCTTGGGGAGGGCACTGCTCCAAACCACTGTGATGAAGTGGTGAGCCGAGATCAAGGGACCCTTCAGAAGGGTACTAGCCCCTGGGGGGACTGAGGATGGGCTGCATCAGGAACGGGGAGAGTGGAGAATGCCAAGTGTAGTCCCCCGGAGCCCAACTCTGGGGTCGTCCTGGTACCACACGCACAAACTCGAAAGGCAGCAAACGGGAGTTCCAGGCAAGGTGTCAGAGCCTTCAGCACGGGCCTCACGTCAAACACCTCGCCGCCGTCTAGCCTGGCTCCTTTCTCCCGGGAACGGGGACATCAGGAAGGCAGATGGAGGCTGGGACGGTGCTGCCAGAGCCACATGGCCATCAGCCGAGGTGCCCGAGAAGGTGTGGACAGCGTTTCTGGCCCCTCCTGGGGGCCACCAATGTGGATTTCTGTCATCCAGGAAGAAGCCACTTTTTTTTTTAAAGATTTTATTTATTTATCTTTAGAGGGGAAGGGAAGGAGAAAGGGAGAGAAATATCATTGTGTGGTTGCCTCTTATGTGTCCCCTGTTGGGAAATGGCCTGCAACCCAGGCATGTGCCCTGACTGGGAATCAACCTGCGATCCTTTGGTTCGCAGGCCCAAGCTTAATCCACTGAGCTACACCAGCCAGGGGCTACTTTTTTAATTAAAAAAAAAAAAAGAGTCCTGACATCTTTTGATGGACAGACAAGACCGATCTATTCTAGAAGCCTTAGCTGTAAATGTGAATGAAAGATGAGAATTCGGAAGACAAGGGTTTCTTCCCAGTGCCCCCTAATGAACTCTCTTGCATCCGTACTTCACCCAGAGCGGGAGGGACAGAGCTGGCGAACACACCAGCCCTCGTACTGGTGAGCACAGAGCTCCCACAAAGCTGGGAAAGCCTCAAGCACAGGGTCAGGCTTTGCACGCTCGGAAACCCAGGCCTGTGCTGCTGAAGCCCCAGCCTGCACAGAGCTCCCCGCCAAACAATCCTTCGTCCAGATGGAGCTGCCTCGCCCTCAAAGACATGCCGAGATGACACAGTCTTCCTGATACCCTGCACATACTGAG